CCAGACTAAAAGGAGATTAGTCTGTAAAAGGAACGTTACTGGAACTGGTGAGGTTTTGTCTGTATTCAGTTTTATTAGACATAGACTTGTGGGTTTTATTTTATTTTGCTTGGTAATTCACTTTGTTCTGTCTGTTACTACTTGGAACCACTCAAATCCTACTTTCTGTATTTAATAAAATCATTTTTAACTTATTAATTAACCCAGAGTATGTATTAATACTGGGGGGGGGGGGGAAACAGCTGTGCATATCGCTCTATCAGTGTTACAGAGGGTGAACAATTTATGAGTTTACCCTGTATAAACTTTATATAGGGTAAAACGATTTATTTGGGGTTTGGGCCCCATTGGGAGTTGGGCATCTGAGTGTCAAGGATAGGAACATTTCTGTAAGCTGCTTTCAGTTAAGCCTACAGCTGTTAGGAGACGTGGTTCAGACCTGGGTCTGGGTTTGCAGCAGGCTAGCAGGTCTGGCTCTAACCAGGCAGGGCACTGAAGTCCTAAGCTGACTGGGCAAGAAAGCAGGAGTAGAAGTAGTCTTGGCACATCAGGTGGCAGCTCCCAGGGGGTTTCTGTGATCCAACCCTGTAGGTGTCTACTACAGATCCTCTAACCAGGAGGAAGAGGTGGATGAAGCTATTTTTTAAACAACTAACAAAATCATCCAAAGCACGGGACTTGGTGGTAATGGGAGACTTCAACTACGCAAACATCTTTTAGGAAAGATAACACAGCAGAGCACAGATTAACCAACAATTTCTTGGGATATATTAGTGACATTTTTTTTATTTCAGAAGGTGGAGAAAGCTACTAGGGGAGAGGTTTTAGATTTGATTTTGACAAATAGGGAGCAACTGATTGAGAATTTGAAAGTGAAAGGCAGCTTGGATAAAAGTGATCATGAAATGGTAGAGTTCATGATGCTAAGGAATCGTAGGAGGGAAAACAGCACAATAAAGATAATGGATTTCAAGAAGTCAGACTTTAGCAAACCCAGGGAGTTAGTAGGTAAGATCCCATGGAAAGCAAATGTAAGGGGAAAAACAGTTCAAGAGAGCTTGGCAATTTTTCAAAGAGACATTATTAAGAGCACAAGAGCAAACTATCTCACTGCATAGGAAAGACAGAAAGTACGGCAAGAGACCGTCCTGGCTTAACCAGGAGATCTTCAATGATCTGAAACTCAAATGAGTCCTACAAAAAACTGGAAACTAGGTCAAATTACAAAGGATGAATATAAACAAGTATGGAGGGAAAAATTAGGCCAAGACACAAAATGAGATTAAACTAGCTAGAGACATAAAGGTTAGTAAGAAAACATTTTGCAAATACATTAGAAGCAAGAAGGTACCTAGCTCTCAGATGGGCAGAGGTGGGGTGGTTTAAACCTGTCCAACCCTTGTGATGTCAGGGGCTTGTTCAGCCCCAGGCACTGATTAGGGCAGTTTTGAGGGCTGCCTTAACTTGTACTCTAGCTGCTATTACATCTAAGGAACTGGTGGGTATGTCTACACACTGCACACTAAGTCTAGGTTCTGATTCATGTTTGAGCCCAAGCCTGCTTCCGGCCACACAGAAATAAGTCTAACTTGGTCAGCAAGCACTCAGGACCCAGGTCCTAGGACCCTGTTTTGCGGGGTCAGTCAGAACACAACTCCCTCTATCACTTGGGTTCAAGCCCTGTCATTTTGCAGTGTGGATGCAGGTGAAGCTGCAGATCTGAGTCAGAATGTCTGCACAGTGCAGTATGGACATGTTAGCAGGTCTCTGGGACATGGGTCCAGGAGTTGTAAACCAAGATTTATGATGCAGTGAGGACATTTAAGTGCAGGCTTGGAAACACTAAGTCCATAAGTCTGGGTCCCACAGACTTAGGCTTAATGTGCAGTATAGACATACCCTATATGGCCCAGGGAATAGCTTTGGCACAATGGGTGTCCTGGCTGCATTCCTTACACCCCTAACATAATCATGCTTGTTGCACCCAATCCAATACTGCACCAGCTAGTTCTTCTGCCAGACAGACACCCCTTTGTAACCTATGAGCAGAGCACCTAGGCATTCACCAGTGTTTAGGGTCACCATAAAACTACTCTAGATTTGTAGTGAAAGTGTGATGAGGTTTGTGCCAATTTTATGTGTGTTTTATATATGGATGAACAGCCATGGCAGATTAGGTTCAGGTGACCCCTGTAATTTAGTTAGGATTTGAAAAATAAAAATCTGCAGAGGAAAAAGCTAGTGTATATTAAAGTGTAGTTCTACTTTTAAAAGTGACTGTAGAAGAACAACTAGAATCTATCTTCCTCTCAGAACTATGTTGGTTTTGAAGGGTGAAGAGTCATACAAAGCCATAAAAACTTTAACCCATTTCAGGGGGTATGATTCTGAATACATACAAACAGATCTATTGAGTTAAGTCAGTGCCATTTTTCAGAGTAAAACTTGCATTAAGTCACCATGCCATCTGTTCTAACCCCCATAAATAAATTATCTTCCTGTCTAGAGATCTTAGAATGGGTTCAGAAATTGAATAATAACTTGCAGTTATGATATCTTACAAAAACACATGGTATTGCAATTGTGTTATTTAGGAGCAAGCTGGCAAAAATTAATTCCATTCTTCAGTACTGTAAACTTGAAGTTGACCGACTGCAAGTGGGACTGAAAGTTGAGAGTTTTACACCTAAGCACGTAAGGAATTGAGCCAGGAATTGATCAATAAAGGATCAAAGAATGGCAATATAATTAATGCCAATCAACATGAGTTTATTGGAAATAGATTTTACCAAACTAACTTTATACAATTTTGAATGAGATTACAAGTTTGGATGATAGAGGTAATAGTGTTAATGTAATGTACTTAGACCTGTGTAAGGCATTTGACTTGGTGCCACTCAATATTTTGATTAAGAAACTAAAATGATACAAAATCAACACGGCACACATGAAGGGATGAAAAGCTGGCAAACTGATCGGGTTCAAAATGGAATTGCAAATGTGGAATCATCACTGAGTTCGTTTCAACATGGAGTGGGCCCTGCAGAGATTGTTATCAGCTCTGCTCTATTTAAAATGTTTATCAATGACTGGGAAGACAACATAAAATCATTCCTGACAAAATTTGCAGATGACACAAAGATTGTGGAGAGGCAAATGATGAAGAGGACAGGTCACCGATACAGAGCTATCTGGATCGCATAGTAAACTGGGGGCAAGTAAACAATATGCATTTTAATACAGGCACATGTAAAGTGATACATAGAATCAAATAATAGAAATGCAGTATTAGAAGGTACCTTAATAGGACATCTAGTCCACTCCCCTGCACTGAGACAGGACTAAATATTATCTAAACCACCCTGACAGCTGTTTGTCAGATCTGTTGTTAAAAACCTCCATTGACAGAGATTCCACAACCTCCCTAGGTAATTTGTTCCAGTGTTAACTGCCCTTACAGTTAGGAAATTTTTCCTAATGTCTAAATGTCCCTTGCTTCTTGTCCTGTCCTCGGTGGATAGCTGAACAATTTATCACCCTTCTCTTTATAATAACCTTTTAGATACTTGAAGCCTGTTATAATGTCCCCGCTCAATCTTCTCTTCTCTGGATGAAACAAACCTAGTTTTGCAATCTTCTCTCATAGGTCATGTTTTCTAGACCTTTTATCTCCCCCCCCCCCCTGGACTTTCTCCAGTTTGTCTACATCTTTCCTGAAAAGTGGCAACCAGAACTGGACACAGTTGAGGCCTCATTAGTGCTCAGTAGAGTAGAAGAATTGTTTTTTGTGTTTTGCTTACAACATTCCTGCTAATACATCCCAGAATGATGTTTGCTTTTATTTTTATTTTTTTTTTATTTTTTTTGCAATAGCGTTACACTGTTGACTCATATTTAGCTTGTGATCCACTATGACCCTCAGATCCATTTCTTCATGACTCCTTCCTAGGCAATCATTTCCCATTTTATATTTGTGCAATTGATTATTCCTTCCTAAGTGTAGTATTCTGCCAGGAGTTCTGACCCCCCTCACTCTGCGGCTGCAGCCTCAGCTCCTCCCTCCCCCGGCTGAGGCCCTGAGCCCCAGGGCTAATGCTCCGAGGCAGTAAAGTATTTGCTTTTTGTGTGGTGTGTGTGTGTGTGTCTCCGCTGCTGCCTGATTACTTCCAGTTCCACATGGTGTCCGGTTGACCGATAAGTCCCTAACTCTGGTGTTTGTATCTTTGAGGTTCTACTGTGTAGTAAGTAGTGGTAGACTTTGACAATTACATACGTTTGTGGGAAAACCGCAACAAAACACAGTACACCAAAATGGGAGACAAAAGTGAACTTGTCAAACACTTGAATGCAATGTAGTTTTAGTTATTACAGTCTTTGTGGGTCAAATTTTAAAAGGTGACCTCTTTTATTCACGTGCACCCTTGTTCACAGAATCATAGAAATGTAGGGCTGGAAAGGAGCTTGAGAGGTCTTCTAGCCCAGGGGCGGATTAGCCACTGGGCAGACAGGGCCTGTGCCCAAGGGCCCCAGCCACCTGGGGGGCCCTGGAAAAACTCTGCTGCTGGGCGGCGGAAGCCCAGAGCCCCAGCCACCGGCTGGGCGGGGGAAGTCCCCTGGCAGAAGCTGTGGGATGGGGGAAGCCCCCACGTGCTCCCCCCCCCCCAGTCCCAATCAGAAGCCGAGGGACGGGGGAAGGATCCCCTACCCTCTCTGCACCCATCTCCAGCAGAAGCCTCAGTGCTCCCCTCCACTCCCCCCTCCCCGACCCCATCCCCGGCAGATGCTGTGGCCCAGGACCCCAGGAAACCTTAATCCATCTCTGATCTAGCCCAGCCCACTCATGCTGAGGTAGGGCCAAGTATAGCTAGACAGAGGTTTGTCTAACCTGTTCTTAAAGTTCCAGTGATGGGGATTCAACAACCTCCCTTGGAAGCCTAGTCCAGTACTTACCCTTTTTTTTTTTTTTTTTTGAAGCTGCCACAATCTCTGGTCCTCCCTATTCAGCCAGATTCCTCCATCACAAGCGGTTGAGTCTGTACTTCTATCTTCTTTAGAGGAATGTAGGATCTCATCCCAGCTGCTCTCTCTGCCTTCTGCTGGGTATAAGGCTCCTCCCTCAGCTGCTTCAGTCTTCTTTTGTGAACTTTAGATTTGAAATGTTCCTTCATGCTATTCAAATCTACAAAGTATCGCACGCAGTAGTGCTGCGCACTTCCAGGCATGTCGGGGTCCGGCTCCTGGTGCAGCAGCCTGGCCGTGATGTCCGGCTGCAGGTCCCCATGGATCTGGTCCAGGTTCCGGCACTGCTGCTTTGCTTTCCATTGGCAGGCCAGGGAGCGCGCCTTGTGCGAGCCCGTGTGATGGGAGCTCCGCGGCGCCATGGCGAGGACGGGGCGGGGAGACTATTCTTAGGTAGAAAGTTTTTCCTGATATCTAACCTAAATCTCCCTTGCTGCAGATTAAGCCCATTGTGTGGATATGGAGAGCAATTGATCAGCCTTTTTAAAACAGCCCTTAATGTATTTGAAGATTATCAGGTCCCCCCTTAGTCTTCTTTTCTCAAGACAAAACATGTTCCGTTTTTTTAACTTTCCCTCACAGGGCTGGTTTTCTAAACCTTTGATCGTTTTTGTTGCTCTCTTCTGAACTCTCTCCAGTTTATCCACAACTTTTCCAGAGTGTGGCACCCAGAATTGGACACAGTACTCCAGCGTTGAGTAGAGTGGGACAACTACCTCCCATGTCTTACATACAACTCTCTTGTTAATATACCCCAGAATGATATTCGCCGTTTTTACAATTGCATCACGTTGGTGACTCATATTCAGTCTGTGATCCTCTCCAACCCCCAGATCCTTTTCAGCAGTATTACCACCTAGCCAGTTATTCCCCATTTTCATATCTTCCTTCCTAAGTGTTATACTTTGCACTTGTCTTTATTTAATTTCATCCTTTTGATTTCAGACCAATTCAGTTGTTTCCCAAGCTTACAAATGTGATGACAGGGTAGTTTTCTTTATCTCTCACTACTTGGCATTTCAGCTGAGAGAGTCAACAAGGGTGCTAATTAGTGCCAGCTGTGGTGTCTGCGTGGACTCAGACCCTCTACTTCAGGGGAAAAATTAAAGCTTGTAGCTGCAGGAGCGTACAGGAGCTTCTAATGCTGCTCAAGGCACACAAATCTATTGCATGATAGGCTCCCTGCCTTTTAAGGATTGACACAGCCAGTGAATCAATGGAAATAAAGTTCCTATGTCCACCTTAGGGATCTAGGACCCTCATTTTAGGTACCCAGGTTTGAAAATGTGGGCCTAAATTGCCTAGTCAGTTGACATATGTGGCTATCCCAAGGAAATGAAGTAAATAGGGCTGATAAGTTGTTCAGGATACAGAGTTGTATATACAAAGAATTAGACCCTTGCAACTCAACAAGAACCTGATGGAACATGACTGCAAGCGTTGGGGTCAGGTTGGATCTGGTCTGAAAACAACCCAACCCAAAGCCCTGGTTGGGATGATTTAGTTGGGGTTGGTCCTGCTTTGAGCAGGGGGTTGGACTAGATGACCCCCTTAGGTCTCTTCCGACCCTAATCTTCTGTGATTCTTGGGCTTGGTTTGGGTAGTACCTGTTCACCTCCTCCTGCCCATCAGGTTGGCGCAGTGGCTGCATGACCCACTCCTGGCAGCTGCGACTGCCTCGTACTGCATATGCTGCGGAGTGAGAGTCTCTGTGACTTGTCAGCATACTCAATCTGCAGCACATACAGGGCAGCAAGGTGGTGGTGGCTGTCAGGAGTGGGGCACCAATCCCACAGGCAGGAAGCAGCCAGAGATGGATTGTGGGCATGGGGACCAGAAATCCCCAGCCAGGGTGGGCCCCTAGAATGAGGTGGTGGTGGTGCTGACAAAGATTTGGGCTGGGTCTGAAAATGTCTTGACTCACTCAGGATTGTGTCAGGTTTGGGTTGTTATGGTCTAGTCAGTTCAGGTTCGGCTTTAAAATTAGGTCTAAGCAGATCTCTGCACAGTAAAGAGAGTTCATAATAATCTCTCGTAGTTAATATATGTTAAAATGATGAAATGTCTGGCTCATAACTGCAACATTTATAAAGTGCTCTACAAAGCTGAACTAGAAGTCTATCGTATAATCAAAATTGCCTATTTTAATATACCTAATTGAATTGTATGGGCTATGCACCATGTGTTGCTGTCATTTAAAATATCACTGAAGTCTGGTAGAACCCTAAGCAAAATTTAAATCTACAAAATTAAATTATTTTGCATAAGTTTGCATATTTTTACATCAATGTTTATTTTATAGTTAATCATAAATATAGTCGCTTTCTCCAATGTAGGCCTTTTTTGAGGATGAGACAGGTAATGTCCTCAGGAGTAACATGCCAAAATTGTCTTGAAAATGTACAAGTCAAAGCATAAAATGTACTTGCATCTGTTTTACCAAAATGACTGATGATAGTATTTTTTAACACTATTTTCTTCCCTTTGGAAGTGGAATTTCGCAAGTCTGATTTAATTTGCAACCACGTTCTCAGAATGTCTTTTCTCTGAAATCATTGACGTTTCCGCAACTGTGTAGCTGTAGTGTATATTTACACAGTGGGGAAAAATTGATAGGGTTTTGCATCTCAAAAGGGAGTGATTTGCTATATTCAGGGTAATTATATATTTGACGAATATGCTGGAGCATATTCTACCATAATAACTGAGTGATGTCTTGGCAACAAGAATCAGTATCAACACACTGAAGATTACTAGTTATAAAATATTAGAGAGTTTATTTTCCCATCTCTGGTGGGGATTTATATACCTAACTCCTATTAATGTTAATGGGAGCTAGGTGTGTAAAATCCAAAATCCAAGGGCATCAGTAGAAGAATAGACTCTGTGCATCCTATATTTATAATATGGAATGAAACAATTTTGCTATTCAAGGGATGACAATTAAATGTGCATATTTACTTATATCTGTCATGGCCAGGTTATGGGCATGGGCCAGGTTATGGGCAGCCAGACCCTGTAGTCAGAGCCAGAGTCTCCAGTCATGAGACAGGAGTCGAGTCTGCTGGGCTAGGATAGTGGGAGGACAGAAGCAGGAGATAAACTGGAGATCAGGACCATGAGTTGGGAACCAGAGTCAGGCTGGTCAGGATACCAAAAGAGCCCACTGAAGGTCAGGAATCACGGATCAGATGCCAGGAGACAAGCCAGGTCTGAATGCCAGGAAATCAGGCCGAGGGGCAATAGGCACACAATCTGGAGCAGGGCGGGGCCCAGTTGTTCAGACAGGTTCTTGTTCCTGCTGCTGGCTTTTAAATAGGGCCAGCAGGACAACCAGCTGCTCTAGGACTCCTTCATGCTGGGCCTGGTCTTTGCTGGTCCCAGGTAAGCAGTTGTCGATAGGTTGCCAGGTGGAGGGTTGGAGCATGGCTGCTTCCATGAACCCTGTGGGCCCACATTTGAGATCCAAGAGTCACAACAATATCCTTATTTCTAATACCAAGGAGTAATAAAACAATTGGGTAATCATTATGTAGTGTGGAGACTGTAACTGAATATAGTGAACTGAATTCTTGACAGCATCCTGTCTCTGAGCTCACAGCGACTCAATTTATTGACCTTGAGGAGATTGCTAGATGTGCTATATTGCACAATGATATGGCATGATTTTCACAAAGATGGGGAAAAAGGTATGGGCAAAAAATACCTTTGATCAGGCAAGGGGTTTCTTATCCAAACCGATCTAACTCTTCCTAAAGAATTATTGAATGTTTGGACTGAGGTTCAGGATAGTCCTTGACTTTTACTGACTTGTTCACTCATTCACAACTTCGATACTGTAAAAATTAAAAAGCAAGTCCTGCTGGCCTAACTTAGGTGAGTAGTCCCGTTGATTTCAGTGGAACTACGTGGGCACGTGAGACGAGAGTTAGCTCCAAAAGAGCTGTGAATATGTCCACTGTGTAAGCTATTCCAGGAATAATTCAGTTTCTCTGCTGCATTACTGTCCTTCACAGCTGAACAAAGACTACACAGAACCTGAAGTCTGAGAACCAAATTTTTCCTTACTCCAGTGCATGAATGGAAGAGGATGCAGGAGTCGTCCCCCCGCCCCCACCACCTTGTAAATCCCACAGAAGGGACAGGGAGAAGGACAGATAGCAGTCCCTATGCTTAGCATAGTGTGAAGGCTATTCCTTCTGGGTGAAAACCATGTCACTTGTGTGAATGCAGAGCAGTTGGGGAAATGAAATCCATTTCTCAAGTAAGGGTTTGGGTTCACGGCTTCTGTGCTGGTCCCAGCCCTCACCGTCCAAGCCACATATACCAACCAATGAGCTGCGGAAGTGGTTACAGTCCCTCCATACATGTGTAGTGTGGGGTTTTGAGCTACTGTACTTGCATGTGTAACTCACACACCTCCTGGGTGTGGTGTTCTGTCCCATCTAGTGGCACGGAGACCACTTAGAGAGAGAGATTAATGAGTTTGCTCTTCAGCCTAAGCTAAGAGCCATATGGCTTTTAGCTTGTGCACTAGAGCAGGGGTTCTTATCCTTTACTGCAGCTTGCATCCCTTTGATTCTCAAAATATGTTCTCGCACCCCTTATAAAAAATCTAGTGACTAGAGGCTCATACACTAAGCTCCAAAGTTCCCAGGTTCAATCCCACCCGCTGACCACTGGGGTCTGTTGGTGTTACAAGTGGGAGATCATCCCGGATTTCAACTGGGAAGTCTCTAGAGCTCAGGACATGGTTCCTCAGCTATGGGAAGTATGTAACCCACACACCTCCTGGGTGTAGTGTTCTGTCCCATCTAGTGGCACCGAGACCTCTTAGAGAGAGAGATTAATGAGTTTGCTCTACAGCCTTAGCCGTATGGCTTTTAGCTCATACAGGAGAGGCTCATGCATTTAGCTTCAGAGGTCGCAGGTTCGATCCTGATGACGGGGGTCTTTCGGCGTTACACATGGATGTGTGTCTGTGGCCACTCCCATTGTGATATTCTGCAAATGCCTATGTGGCTCCAGTTTGGGCAGCACATACACAGGCACTCTGGTGTAGCTGTTCTCCCAGTGGAAGCCCCACTCGGTTCTTTTATAGGGCTTACGTAATGGGTATTTTGGATGAATTTGTCTGTGTGCCTGCAGTGAGTCGGGGCAAATAAATGAATTCAGAGTGGCACAAATGATGAGTGATGCAGCCTGTACATTCGTGTGGTGCCAGGGAGATGGGGGAGGCACAATCTGACTCAGAGCTCCACCTGGTTGGGTGCCACTTTCCATTACCCTCAATGCCGAGCCCCTAGGTGACTGACAGAATCTGTCCTTGAGTCATTATAAACATGTTACCTTGATGGTGTAT